GAGAAAAAAATATATAAATATTCCAATAAGATTACTGAAAATAAAGCCCTGGGTCTGCGATCGTTCCGAATTACAAAAAGCTTGTGTAAATGCAAGATGGAAATAATAATGGTAATAATAATAATCTCAATGACATAAAAAAATAATCAAAAATATCATCGAACGAAATCATAGCTAGTGCGACCTTATATTTCCATTATTACAGAAGACTCATTATTGTCTCCGAGCCTTTATGGCAAACTCAGACATATTCAGTATTGCTCATCCCCGACTGTAAATAACACGAGTCAGTAAATCATACATTGAGCGACATTGTTGTTTATGTTAAGAATAGCTTGAGTGAGAAATCTCGCGAATTTTTTTAGAATGTGAACACGTTTAGCAGTGAGAAAAGATTACAAAGCCAAATCCTCAATCTTGACACATATTTGCTACTGAAATTAAAAACTCCTGCTGGTTTTAACCAATTAACGTCCTTTTGATGGTCAACTGAAGTTTTTATAAAGACTTTTCTAGAAAATATGGTGTAATGAATTAGAAGAAGCAATTAGCTGAAGTCAATCTAACTACTAATCCCTCCCTAATTATCACAATATTCACGATTAGATCTCAAGTTAAAGATGTTATCGAGTCTCAAATTTTAAGCAACTTATAGGTTAACTTTGTAAAAAAAAAGAAGAATTCTAACAGGTAGAACAAAAAAAAAACTCTGTACTTTTCTGAATCGAAAAGATGTTGCTTCCTTACAATTATTCAATTTGTCATTCATTTAATATGTACGAAGTGACACCAGCAGAGCTGGGCAAAGAATGACAATTTTTTACTTAAATGAAACAAATAGTTTCTGAATTATTTATGACGTTACAATCTCATACCGCTAAATATATTTTAACACATTATCTCTGACTACAACTACTGTGTACAGCGTTCTGTTAACCTCGAGTCCAAAACTTCAAAAGATGTGGAAATGATTAACTTCTTGGAAAAGTACCATGAAGCGAGCCATCTCCAAGAAAGGCCAAATGTTGATGGGAAGAGCGTATGAAAAAGGTGAGTTTTTATTAATCAATATGATGCCTTGCAAATGACAACAAGCCCGAGATTATTTTACCATTTTTTCAAACGTCGAATTGTGAATTAAATATTGCAATCTAATTTCGAGGAAACAGTGATTGTTTTGGAAGAACAATGTTTCCTTGTAACCCTTAGTTTTAATACATCTACCTTAATTAAAAAAGCGTTTCTAAAAAAGACAGCCACAACCTTTTACCACTATTCCGGGCTTACTGCAGGCTCCATTACATTACTTAACATTATTTCAAGCTAGTATATTATTGTGCGAAGTTTCTTTCCACCGTATTTTCTACGTTATTCCACAATGTTTGGGATCGTTAGGTTTGCCCTGGCTTGCGAGTGACGGACCAATCATTAGAATCATCTATGACCAAAAATTTGTTCTTCTTTCTCTTTTTTGTTTTACATACCTTCGTTTCAACATCAGAAATAATTTAAAATCTCTCTTTTATGATCGCTATACCTTTTAGGGCATACTATTTTAAGATTAATTAAACTGCGGTTGGTTTTCAACTTAGGTAATCCGGCATATATGGGGAATATGGTGTAGTTTCATTAAGACCAACTTTTTAACCTTATTAGCAAGCCAAGAATATTTTCATGTAGGGAGACCCACTGAAACATTTTCAAGAAAAAATAGGGGAATTCTATGAATTCATAAGCTGTTAAAAATATCTGAAAGGTTTTACTGCCACATGAATTTTGGGGAAAATGTTCAGTACATACAACATTCTTTCTTGATAAATTTTGTGCTCAGTTCTTCTCTTAAAAATTCACAACCATAAAGACTAACGGCTGCGATTATGAATAGGGCATCATTTTCAGCGCTTGAACATGTCGTCTGTCATATAACCGTTATCAGACGTTATGTAACATAAAATATAAAGTCAGACAACAGACGTGTGATAACAGTTATATGACAGCAGACATGACATCATATAACTGTTATAAGACGTCTGATATTAGGCATCAGACATCTGATAACAGATAATATATGACAGCAGATGTGTGATATCAGACGTCTGATAACAACTGTAATATAACATCAGACGTCTGACATAACATATAACATCAGACGTCTGATAACAACTGTAATATAACTGTTAGTAGACGTCTGACATCATATAACTGTTATCAGACCTCTGATGACAGTTTTATAACATAACATATAAAATCAGACGTCTGATAACAGTTATATGACAGCAGACGTCTGCTGTCATATAACTGTTTTAACAGTCATATAACTGATGACACTATATAACTGTTATATAACAGTTATATAACTGTTATATAACAGTTATGTTATAGTTTAACAGTTGTTATAACTGTTAACGTCTGTTAACTGTGATATATAACTGTCATCACACGTCTAATGTCTGATTTTATATGTCATGTTAGATAACGTCTGATAACAGCTATGTGACATCAGACGACTGATGTCATATAACTGTTATCAGACGTCTGAATTTTTGTAACTGTTAGCAGACGTCTGACATCATATAACTGTTATCAGACGTCTGATGACAGTTATATTGCATAACATATAACATCAGACGACTGAAAACAGTTATATAACATAACATACAAAATCAGACGTCTGATAACAGTTATATGACAGCTGATGTCTGCTGTCATATAACTGTTATCACACGTCTGATGTCTGATTTTATATGTTATGTTACATAACGTCTGATACCAGTTATGTGATCACATCAGACTTGAATGGATATGGGTCTAACCCTAATTTACTATGCCACTGGACACGAGTACTGCGCAAGCCCTAAAAACAGCCACAGTTTTCTTTATTCAAAGCAAACATGTGAACGACCAAATGTAGCAGGCCGTTTAGTCCAGTAGCCGAGGTAGGAAAATTGTTCTTTAGAATTCGTTCAACCCAAGGGTCGGAAAAGGTTTGATACCGGATTTTGGTCGAACATGACCTACTGATCATTGCCTAATAATTTGTAAGGTCGATTTGTGGTATAGGTTTCTAGTAAATGGCGCTTTTATGCCACATACCTTACGGTCCAGCATGAAAACGAGCCTGATACCTGAATCACCATTTACCTGCTAATTCTTTGTTAAAAATCGCTAAAAAAAAAAAGGTAACTTACTCAATGTTCAATGTAACAAAAGAGATGATTATATATTTTCGAGTCAACAATGTCACGTGACTGATCGCGTTACTCGCACAAGGACATATTATTTGCTTGAAATAAAGGAAAATCGCGCTTTGATTGCTTTTCTTTTTTCTTTCAAAGAACCAGTTTAAATATCTGTACTTTGTTTAACATTAGCTGTTTTCCTTTATTAACTTTTCGCAAGTAACGGATAGATTAAAAAAACATTTTTGATATTTTTATAGCACTTGACATATAGAAAATCGCTCTGTGAACGTGACAGACGGAGAGTTTTTTTTTTTTTTGTAGGAATTAGAGATCGTTGAGAAAAAAGCTACATGTTATTACGTGAAATTGTCTATTTTCGTACTCAAAAGAGAAAAATACAGCATTTATGCATTGCTTCAGGAACGTAGACTGTTCCAAAGCATGAAAAGAAGACAAGTGTTGACTCCTGAGAAGAGGGTCGCTCTCAAAATATTGCTGATTAGGTTGAGGTCGTATAGAAGGAGGGAAGTGTATCAGAGAGAGTTAACCAACTAAAAGAAAGAGCTTGACGGTACTGGCATCTCTGTTTGAAGTCACCAAATCGCACGCAAGAGCCCCGTCAAAGATGTTTGCAATTTGTTGGCAGTATGGTTTCATGCATGGTTAGTACATTTTCACGATTCATCAAAGCGGAACGAACATACAAATTGGCACTTGCTTCCAATATATCTGCCCTTGCAATTACGCCGCCGCATTTTTTCTCATTGGACAGACCTGTAACTATGCACGATGGCTACCAGTTTACCTTGCTGGTATATGAAGCACCTGGAGTCACAACACTCAAAAGTGTATTAAGAATTTATTGCTAAAAATCATTCCATTAGCCGAAACGATCAGGCATTTTCTCGTGTCATAGCTGACACAACCCTGGAGCAATCTACGTAGCCGGCTCGAAGTCAAAGGGTAGGAGTGTTGGCATATCTCAAAGTCCACGATCGCTTTTCTGACCATGGGTTGAACGAAACGACAATTTTCCGACCTCGGCTACTGGACTAAACTGCTTCTGCGTTCGATTTTGTGGTTAGACCAATGCATTTTTCTATCAGACAGAGGAAGAAGAAGAAGAAGAAGAAGAAGAAGAAGAAGAAGAAGAAGATACTTTTATTTAGCTAGGGTAACTCCTACAGTTACAAAAACTGATACCCTTAGAGGCCCTAGATAAAAAAGAAATATAAAAATATGTTAAAAATACTTAAAACTAGTCCCAACTAAGCTACTAGAAAAATATCCTAAAAAAGGATAAAAATTATTACAAACTATTAATAAAAACTACAAATTACGATTGAAAACTTCACATCCACGATAATAAAAAGCTTTTTTCGTACATTCTCTAGTGGACGTCGCATGCTGATGTGTTACTAAGACGCCTATGAATGCCGATGGCAATGAATATGGGTTAAAGCTGTTTTATAATCACCAATTCCTTTGACAGTACTGTATTTACTCGCATTTTCACTTCTCAAATGTGGTGCTTATTCGAAGCGGCTCTTATTTGAAAGTTGGACGCTACTCCTTTGCTTCTTTTCAGTTACCGATATTATTTCATTTTATGACAGAAACGTCTTTTGGTTTTGATTGCATCGGGGCCGCGCAGCTTATTTGGGGGAGGCACCTATTAACTCAGTATTTTTGTCCAAATTGTGGCACTTATTTGAGGGCGGTGCTTATTCGAGTAAATACGGCATTTTACCGTGAAATTTTATTTCTTACTTGGAAACTATAACGGAAACAAGACGTCCTAGGAGTTCCGTAAAAGTTCTAAAAGTTGACCGGTCTGATTTTCATCTCAGCTCTCTTGGCAGAGTAGTTATGTCCTTTCCATGCATACCAGTTGACACCATCAGCAGTTGATGAATGTGAACCGTTGTAATAAAAACCATTCAAGTTTGAACGATGGCAACGAGAGTACCACCAGGCTCCTCTGTAGACCACAGCGCAGTTTTGTGGGGATGAATCATGATCTTGGTCTCTAGTGCTAAAAGGCTGGCCTCGATGCCACCTCGTTAATGAGTCACCAGCAGCTCCTAGGGGTCATACAAGGTCATTTTACCAGGAATGTATGGAGTAGAATACCTGAATATAATCTAGTATTGAAGTGCAAGATAGGGGCTACGTTTGGAAAGTAACTGAGCTCCTTTTGAAACTTACTAGAGTTTTCAAGTTTGCAAGAAACCGCTAACCTAAACAAACATACAACGAATAATTAAGAAACGAGGACAAAATACTGTATATCAAAATCATATACATGTACATTCCAAGCACGATACCTGAGTACATTCCTAGACTGAGCTTGTATTTAGTCGCTTCGTTTGTAACTGCAAACATGTCATATTCAGCGTAAGCAGTGTTGCCTATAGTGTCCTCCAGATCAACTCGAAGCCGGTTGCATTTTTTATTGGTCAGGCGGTAAATCTTGTCCAATCCAAGCCAGAACTCGCCATTCAGGTCACCGAACCCATTTTTGTAGTCATTCCAGTAACGATAGAAATCAACCGAGCCGTCCAGTCTCTTCTGGAACACTGTCCACCCCCCTCTGCTTGTTTTTTGATCACAGAACACATCGAAGGCACCTTCACCATCAGGGTCGATTGTGTACACACCGCTGATTGTTTTGCCAGCTTTGTATAGTTCAGCACAGTTCTTAGCTGTTCCGGAAAGATGACCTTAAAATTATTTAAAATAGAGAGGAGACGTGTGACGTCACATTACCATGGTAGCAAAATTACCAGATCACAACAATAGGGAGCTTGAGCAACGACGACGGTGACGGTGACGGCAACGAGAAGAGCAAAAAAGAAATAGGTTTATACTAGTAATAATTGCTAATTTGGGGAGTGCGTTCGATGGGGAGGGGTGGGGTGAGTAGTGAGTGGTAGTCATAAGGGGATGCAAAACTTAAATGAGCTTGTGAGATTGAGAAATCAAAATAACATGTGTATTTCGGATCTCCTTAGAATATTAGTGTGCGACATGTATGACAATATGAATCAGGAAAAATTTAACTCTTTCATAGAAGTCAGAGGGAGGTGACATACTCACAGAAGTTAAACATGTTCCATTGGCAGAATATTGTTTCATGAAATTAAACGACAAGCAGATATAGGGTTTCCTATAAGATCTATCCATTCTGCACTTTACATTTACGATGAATTCATGTAAAATGGGTGGAGAGGATGGCCGGTTGTGATGGGAGTTTCGTCATTTACTTCGTGTACCCGACACAGATGACGTAAAACAAAAGAACAAAAACCAGGAAACAATACCAAGCAGATTTTTCCCTGAACAGACAAAGAAGTCTTTTGTTTTACGTCATTTGTGTCCACTACACGAGGTTTTGACCGCAGTTTAGAAGCCATTTTTTGCACGAATTGTTAATTCATTTGGTCAGGAAAGTGTACATTTGACTGTCATGATCAGTCTGGGAATTTCAAAAACTATGCCTCTGGCAACCATGTCTCAACAAGCTCATGAATGTTGGCAATTGAGAAACTGATCACCTTCAACATGACTTGTACGTGGACATTTCATAATTCACTCTTGCGTTCAATAGTCATGATCACTTTCATAATTCTTATGAACTGCACCCTTAAGACATTGCTACATGTAATTTCTATTTCAGTGATTATGTTTGCACTTTACTTTTACTTACAAACAATTAGTTGTCAAGTGTGATTTTGAACTAAAACAAGTGCAAACACTCTCATTCCTGTAGTTCACTTAACAATATAATATATTTTTTTCCTCCAATTTCCAGCATTTACTTGTTGTTTTCACCGCAGCATAATCTCCTACAATTTGGCATTCACTCACTACTACTGTCACACTTCACAAATAGTGAATTATAATTACACTTATTATTAGAGATGCCATCTAACCCAAATATTAAGCAAATGCAACTGCATATTAGCCTGCAGTTATTCACTATCATACCCATTTCCTTTTACTATAATTACTCATGTAGAAGGGTCAAATGGGGTGAACACGGGACTAATGCAACATTGGCTACCTTTCCTCGACAACAGCAATCCCATTTAAATCAAAGAAGATCCTTTTAGCCAAAGAACTGGGTCCAAATTTACTCCAACCAAAAGGAAATTAAGTACATCTCACCTTCCAATATTAGTCATATTAGAGCCAGTGTTGAATCCCGCTCTCCCATCCCTGTCATTTTATGGGCCTGAGCCTCTCGAAGTTCTGCGATACACGTATTTCTAGTTATAGACGTAGTTTATCGATCTGGCTGGTCAATTAAGTCGTGATGTTGTTGTTCATCTGTCAGTTAAGCCATGATGTTTATGGCTATGATGACATTGTTGAACACCAGTTACAGACGAACCACCAAATCGACACTGACTCTACGACCTGCCTTACGTATTTCTCAGACTGCTATCAACGATTCACTTTAGAAAGCTGATTTACCAACTGGGAACAAACGCGGCTGAATCGTAGTCAGAAGTTACCGGCACCTTCAAAACGACTTATCAACGGCCTCAAGCAAGACTGGCTTCAGTAGAGTGATGGACAACTGACAATTTGACTAACAATAAAACGACCGTTGTAACTGTGACAAAAGATGGATCGAAATTAGAGTCCTCACAGCCAATAACCGACAGATGGCAAAAACAATGTAACTTATCCACCATTGAGGTCAATCAGAATTAAGTCAAATTCAATTTGTTGCGCTTCCCGCACGCTTATTTTTAGAGACAGGAGGGGCCATTTTTGCATCAACGAGTGTAAGTAGTTTAATTCTACAACTGTATCCAAAACTCCTTAGGACGATAAGGTTAAGCCATGAATTACTCCTTGCGGAGAGAGAATGGAAGGCCCTAGAGTAGCCGAGGTTCCTAACTCGCACGTGGAAAGTGCGAGCTTCGCGCCGCGATGCAGAAACACGAGTAGGCTCAATAAATATCTCCAAGCCCTTCAAGCAAGTTTAACTTGAGTGGCACACTGAGTTTCGCGATGGTTTCCGAGACACCTATTACTAGTGTATATATTTTACAACTGAACAAGCAATGTCTACCCTTTCCAACATGCGTTGGTGTAGAATTGCCCACATTGTAGGTAGGGTGAGGGGCTGAACAAGTCTAGGTTTATTGGCGAGCGACTGTTTGTTTTGGTGTGTGTGGGGGGCGGGGAGGGTGGGTGTGTGTATTTGTGTGTGTATGTGTTTTGTTTATATATCCGATTTTTAGCGCTAAATAAGAAGACACGAGTTGCTAGGCGATTGCACCTCTTATTCCTAATTTTTTTTTGCTAGATGTTCCACTCATTAGTTACTAGAATGAAGTTTATTAAAGAACCAAAAGAATTAGGGTTTACTTTAGAACCACCTGTTGTTTTCTATGGAATTTTTATACCCTGTGCAATACTTTCTACAGAGTCAAGTAAACAAAGGTTGACATTTTTGCTTGATAGGCAGTCTTTCGCTTCGCTGCGCTTCGACCTCATTTTCATGATTTGCCCGAAAAAAATTAGAACAATTCCGCATTCGCCTGACCTCCTTTTTCCTTCTTTTGAAGTAAAGATTTCTTAGTTAACCTCTGTGTCTTGGTTTTGTTTATAACTGATTTTTAGTGAAAATAATTGTATGATTATTCTGATAATCTGCAAAGATAGCTCGTTCAAAATTTGCCAATCAGAAGACTATAGCAAATTGCTGATTATAGCAAAAAATCACTTTTCTATTTATAGATTATGAACTCAACATTTTTTGATGACGTCAACTCCTAGGGTATTCTGACGTCATCTGCGTTAATTTATACCACTCAAAAAGTTAATTAAATCAACAAAAAACCGGCGTAACCAGTCCCTCCCCTACTACTGCAGAATGTTTTTCCGCCCAGAAGCTCAGGCAAGGACAGGCATTTCCATCCTTTGAAGGAGGGGGATTGGTGCAATTGCGGACCCTGTATTGGTTGCCTCCGCCACATGTAACAGAACAGGGAATCAGAACCAGCTCTTTTTGAATAATACTTGATCTAACTTCGCGGATTCGTTAACCAGATTATTAAGCACTGCGTTTTCCAATTAGATTAACTTTCGTAGCATTTATTTCTTTCTTTATCTCGTTCAGCTGTTGTTTCATCTCAACAAAATCATGACCATCTTGACCATCTGCGTAATTGATAAATGACAAACTATATATCCTTTATTTAACAAGTAATAAAGAGCTGAAAACCGCCATTTCGTGTGCAAAGCAGACAGATAAAAAAAGCAAAGCACAAAACACGAAAACATGAAAACTATTGAAGATAAACAAGCATTTCATTCATCAGCTTAAACGATTTCCACAGACTTTGTCCGCAACTGAACATATAAATGTTTGTTCTGAGACCAACATTTAAACACAATTATCAGTGTTCTCTATGTTATTCTTGTCCAAAGTTTGTTTGGTCTCACATGTTCCAGAACCGTTACCGCGAATGCGGGATTGTTTCCAATATAAACTTTATTTTCATCAGTTTGGTCATACAGTTTCCTTGTAAGAAAGCCCAGACAAGAAACCAAAACAAAACAGTAGCATTCTCTGTCATAAAATGACATTCGCAGCAAAAAGAGGCCTAACCTGCGATCAGGAGAGAGGTGACTTTATAACAACTTAGCATTTTTGCATTGGAACATCACATGGCTAACAATATGTGCAACTAAAAACGAACCGATGTAATTCAGGGGTATAATTAAATAGTTTCATGAATAGAATAGAATCAAGAGAACATAAAGGTTATCATCTCTTGATAGAATAGAATAAAATGCAATGGAACGGAATCATTCTAAGGTCTTGATTTTTTGCTTATTTATTTATTTATTTATTTATTTATTTATTTATTTATCCATTTCATTTTTGTCATTTTCCGTTGCTGTTGTTTATATGTCGTGTCACTGAAATAACAATCACTGTTGTCACTCTAAAGCTGTTTAAATAAAAATTTACCTGCACAAATGCTACTGTTCAATACTTACTGGAGCAGTTCTGTGGGTTGCAAGCTTGTGACTCCACTCTCCGGCCAAGACAGGCATTTCTACCCCTTGAAGGAGGGGAATTGGTGCAATCGCGGACCCTGCTTTGGTTTCCTCCCCCACATGTAACAGAACAGGGACCCCAAGGGCTCCATAAAGACCAAGCACTATCAACTCGATCTATACGGAAATACACAGAAAATTATATAAAATGGGCTTGAGTGATAGACAATGTCCATAAATGGAGTTTATAAGGTATTAAAGACGACCAGCTAGAATAGATACTTTTCACAGTGACGTCATCAAATTGTAAAGTCAAAAATACGTTGAAGGTTTCAATATGGCAATAAAGAAAATGTCAAATGTTGTTAACAAAATTCACGACAATCAAGTTCTAACTGCCGCATCATGTATCCCTAGCCTGCGGTCTGTTGTTAGAGGCTGTACATGTAGGTTCATTTGCAAGCGACTGTTTGTTTGGCGTGTGTTAAAGAACGAAAATAGTACTTAAGAGCGTGGTGACAGAAGCGTAACGAGGCCACCTTGGTTTTTCAAGCAAATCAGTCACATCAAGACACTCACTCGCCTCTTCGCATGTCTAACAACATGCGCAACTAAAGAGGAACCGATGTAATTCAGGGGTATGATTAAATAGTTCAGGCTCTATTTTGAGTGTCTGTAAGACCAGGAACACCCCCGGGACACCCTCAGGACACCCCAGAATACCGCGGAACACCCCCTGACGGGTCGGATCCCCGGAACACTCCCAATTGCAAAAACTAGGCAAAGAAATTACAAAATCAAAAAAACTAAAACATCATTAATGAATCAATAAATACCGTAAAATTCCGAAATAAGCCTCTCCATGCCGTATAAGGTCCTCCAAATATAAGCCCACCAAACTCGCAACGCAAAAAACCCTCCCATAAATCGCCCCTCTAAATACAAGCCCCCGGGAGCTTGTACTCGGAAATTGCCCTCAAATTAAAAAACAAAACGACACAAAGAAAAAACTGAACAGTAACACATAAATTTTTGCTTTTGCCTAAGAATTATTACGTGTGCCAAATGATTGCAGTCAAAAAGTGTCACAGTATTTTGCTGTTTGCGTAGTTCATTTTTCAGTTTTGGCTTGGATTTCCCCGGTCCATATAGACAAGGAACCTGCATGGCTGAGTTTTAGACAGATCTACGTCCTCGAAGTGAGCCACAGTAAAAATTAAACTTGCTGAAAATTACTGACATAAATTTCCTTCCAACTATAAGCTAACCCAATGGAGTTTGAGACGCTTATTTCTCTCCCAGTATTGTTGGTTTTCACATGACGTCACTAAAATTCAAACTACAAAACTATCGATCCTACTGAGATTTTACTTTCATGATGTATTAGAGCATACAGTGAAATAGAGTGAAAGATGGCTGGATCAATTCAGATCAAAGGGTTTAAAAACGTGTATTATAAGAATCAGCCACAATCAATGCAATAAAAAATAAAGAAAAAACTACCGTCAGTAGATATCGTCATCATGGCTAAACAGATCGATGCAGCAACCATTGCCAAGAAGGATAAGACCAGAACAGCTATCATAGCGAATGACCTCTCACGGCGACCTCTCGCAATAATCTTCGTGGCTTCTTGTGGTATGGCATTCCCTTGGTAAGTTTGGTTTGCTGCTGGGGCTCCGCTTGGCATAGACTGTCTATTAAACAAGTCAAGGTGATTGTAAAGATGTTCATCCTTGGATTCTGCTCTAAAAGCGTTATTTGTTGCTACTGTTCTGTCATTCGCTTCGTAAGTCTGGTTTGCTGCTTCCTCTTGGTAAGTTTGGATTGCTGCTGGGGCTTCGCCTGGTATAGACTGTCTATTAAACAACTCTATGTGATTATAGTGATTTTCATAGCTGGGTTCTGCTCTGAAGGCACTATTAGTTGCTGCCATCTTTCATTGGGTGTGAAGAAACCTACAGCGGTGTAAGACCTCAGATCTGACAAACTCAGGCGATCCTTCTCCTCGACTGACTCAGGTCCGGCTGTTTGCCTTAATATCTTTTGTCGCTTTTGTATTGGATCGAAATTCGTAATTTCCGGCGTATGTCCAATATAATTACACAAAATACAATTCGTGAAAACGCCCGATCGTACCATTGGTGAACGTCGGTCATTAATAGCACGAAGCTCTATACAATTGTTTCCGGTTTGTGTTGCTTGTTTACTATGGTTGCAACTTGGTTACAGCTATTCCTGTGAGGCCTTCTGTAGGCTTTTGCACATTATGCTTTTGTTTCCCTACTAAAATGCTCCATCATAATGCTTCATTTTTTCCCACTAAACTGCTCAGTCTCCCTCCCCCCTCCCCCCAAAAAAGTCACTAAAATGCTCGATAATGAGGGAAATTTACCGATTACAGGCAGGAAAAACATTAACCGACACCCGACATGGTCCGACATTGAAGGGATAATTTTAGACAGAAATAAATCGTATATTTCTTTCTAATTTTTATTAAAAGCATCCGTGAAGGTAAATCACTTTAAATCCTAATGTCGTTACTTATAGAATTTTCTGTCATCAACTTACTTGTGTCAAGTTGTTATAGAATCGCGTAGGTTCGATTTCAGCTTTTCTCCTGGCATGTAGGGGCACCCAAGGACTGTTTTCTGTACAATATCGGTTCGGAGAAGCAAATATTGCCTAGAATATTCTATTGCTTGAGGACGGTTAGAAATTTCTAGATGACCCTTCCATTCAAGTACAATGTTCGAAGCTTATCTAATAAATTCCCTACGATTTTCTGAAGTTTAATTTATTTCTAGCCTGCGAATGGCAGAAGTTTCTCCTCGCTCATCGCCGCTAAGGAACGTTTCACGAGGAGGAACGTCTGCGATTCAGCGACAGAAATTCCATACTGATGACGCAAAATATGTCCGGAATCCGGTCAGAAGAGCTAATTGGTCGACAGAGTAGATTCATTGTTTTAGCTATTGTTTACGAATGACAGACAAAAGACAAAAGGCCGCAAAGGTCAAATGTAAATGTCATGAATCTCTAACAAAACAGCCAATATTTCTGGAATATAGTCTTCTCTAGAAGCATTTGAGTTTTGCTGGCGCTCATTCACAGAGGAACACAACACTTTACCAAAATCGACCAGGAGAAACATAAAAGTGAACAAATTTGCATTTGGAACCCCATGACTATTTTATTTATTATGTAAACATTGATTTACGTCATCAGTATGGAATTTCTGTCGCTGAGTCGCATACGTTCCTCCTCGCGAAACGTCCCGCAGCGGCGATGAGCGGAGGAGAAACGTTTGTCGTTCGCAGGTTAAATTTGTTCACATTTTACTGCCCATGTTAGGCTATAATTTTCGAAGAAAAAGTGAAACCTAAACTTTTCGGATTCAAAAATTTGATGAAGAGAGGAATAAGAACAGTTCTCACTTTCGTAAAACGTTCAATTGCAGCTAAAATTTTCGGGAAAATAATACTGCCGTGGTAAGACTCAAGTTCCCCTAGGACGACCCAACAGGTACTAAATTTCAGAGCGCCGCTTAGAATGCATTTCTAAAGATCTAAGGGTACTCTGGATAGCCTAAAAGGAGTTTTCGATGTCTTTAGGAGGAAACCATATCGTTGGGTGCCCCTGACAAATAGTCCCTTCAATTTTTTTCTTCCAGATGCCATGGAATAACCCAAAAGACTTTCGCTTTATCATTCTCCATACATGGAACTGGGTCGCTATGCTTATACCAAGGTAGAGAGTGCTAAATGTTACAATGGTCCCATATAGCATTCGAATACAGAATAATTTTAAAAAGATAAACCAGTGAGCAGCACTTCTGCGAACTTCTGGAGTTGTAAAAACTTTTATTTTCTCCAACGCGTTTCGTGTGACTAGCGCACACCTCAATTCAGGGAGTTTTACAATACAACTAAGCGTATCTGTATATAGTATATACCTAAAAACACAAAACACCTACGGATTTGCGTAAAGGAACTGCAAATCTCGTGGTTATACGTCTAGGAAACAGGCGGAAAAATATTTGCAAGGTGTGACATGTTTGTAATGTTTTGAGGCCCACAGTTTTAGTTTAAAAAAACCTTGAAAACAAGTATTTTTTGACCAGAACAACAAAAAAAAAGGCGGTATTAGTTGTTCTTGATATTGATGTTGTCCAATTTCTTCTGATTCAGCAAAAAAGTACTTTTCACGATGATCTTGTAAGATGTGATCGGAAAGGAAGTCAAAAGCCAATATAATTATTAAAAACAACATAAAATAATTGTCTCAAGATAAAATAGCTTTAAAAACAGAAATTAGTTCACTGCCGACTTTATTCTATATTTGGTAAACATACAGTGGCCCACACTGGTATTGCCGATACCGAAAGAGCACTGTCATTCTCTTTCTGATTGCATGATGACTGCCTTTTTTTCACGCTTCATAAAATACGGTCCCTTAAATTCAGATATCGATTCTAGATTTTCAAAGTTACCCATCTGTAACGAATTACAACCTTGAGTTTACTCTCACTCCTCCTTTTGTGCAGAAATATACATATACGACACAATGAAATATACAGTTATTGAAAGATCACTTTTGACGCATTTCAGGCTCCATGGAATGAACCAGAATTTGCAAAGCAAAGTAATATTACCCGCGTCGTTATCTACAGGGTCTATAAGCAAAATGATTCTAGCTGGTGGTACGTTTTTTTAGCTTATTGTGAACTAGCACCCAGTCGACCACTATGCATGGCGCCACTCTTCTCCCAACAATAGACCGCAATTTTTTTTTTGTCAACTTTTGATAAAAATAGTGCACCACTGGGAAGAGCTCCTAATAATTAGGAAACTATCAGGTGATACGTCTGAAGCGAGCGAAGATATTATTTCACAAAGTCGCAGCGACAATTTAGGGAGGTTGGTGGGGGGCAAATATGTCTGTAAAATTCCGCTTTGGAGCTATAACTTCGTTAATTTTCAACAAATCACTTTTAAAATTGGTACCTTTACTGGTTCAGAAGGCGTCCTTGACGAATTTTCGCTAACTGGCCCCAGTCAAACGTTGGAAAATATAAAGACCCGTGGAAGGGTTTACTGACAGGCCGAAAAGAGTGTTTCAGCAAAATTCCTCAAGGCTTATAGACAAAATCGTCACAAATAAGATCAGGGAAAAGAATTTCGGTGAAAATATTGCTTGCGATATCTACTTTGTATAACACTGAATAAACGGCCAATATTTGTATAAGAGCCACGCACACTCTCAAACTCAATACAACTTTCGAGAGCTCAAGAGAGTGCTGTTCTACAAAGTGCTTCCTTAATTATTGATATTGTCAATAAAATGCAACACTATATTGACTGAAGAGAAAATACATAATTTCGCGACCTTTCTATAGATTTAAAAAACGTCATAGAAATTGTTGTAGATTAAGATTCAGCAACGCCGACGGCAAAGAGAACGTCCAAAAAAACAATAAGCTTTATAAGCAAAACAACAATTTGGCACGTGCATCACGCTTTTTTGTACATTTCTTTGCCCGTTTTTGCAATTTTGCACGACTACGACATGAAAATGCCTAATTTCGCGTTTTACGGAGTACCTCAACACGGCAACGAGGACACTTTATTTATTTCTCCTTCTGAACTTTGATATGGTCCGTAGGAATTCAACTTCAGGAGGGTTCACTTACATTTGGCAACGTAAGTGGGTAGGAATAATCGCGATTAAGACTAAAAGAGCGCAATTTAACTTTTTAAGAGACGTTCTCCTTGCCGTCGCGTCGTCACTTGGATGTTAAAGTCCCTAATAATTAGGGAACTTAAGATGGAAGACGTTTTCGGGGCGACGGCGACCGGACTGTCAGAGAAAGCCTGGAACTAAGGCAGCCGTCGCTCCCCGTCAAAAATAGAACATTAAGATCGCAGTGAACTCAGAACGACGGCGCCTTTAATTAGAAGAATACCGAAGAGGAAAATATGGCTTCACATAAAGAATTAAGAGAATAAATATTTGCTATGCAGACAACATGTATCGAATGAAGAGTTTCTCGTTTTGTGGGAAAATTATGAGTCCAAAAATCCCGATTTTCCTCGGGACAGTTACGATCCGTTCACGCTAAAAAACATGCGGGGTGCAGCTGAGCTCAAGGCAGAATTTCGTGTTGAAAAAAAATGATCTCCACAGGCTTGCCGAAGCCTTGCAAATTACAGGAACATTAAAATGCTACCAAGGAACCGAAATAATTCCTGGGAAATACTTGCATGCAACAACAACAACAACGGCAACAACTTTATTTCAGTATTCCCACGCCGAGTTAGTACATGGTATTACCTACTATTCTATATAATTTTCAATGCGTTTCATTTATACGATATTCTAACGAAAAGAGCGAACTAAAAACACATAATTGAAATATCGGAGTTCATATTTTTTGTCTGGATACTTTTATTTGGCTCGTGGGAAAATTTTGTCCCATGTCAAGCTCACTTACGGTTGGCTGTTTGCCAAGTTGGATCTTGGCCCTGTGACATGAAAACATAGAAACATTCAAAGATGTAAGTTTAGATAACAG